AAAAAAAAAAAAAAAAAAAAAAAAAAAAAAAAAAAAAAAAAAAAAAAAAAAAAAAAAAAAAAAAAAAAAAAAATACATCTGTAATATACTCAGTCACTCTTTTTCTCAGTCAGACTCTTTTTGATGTGTTCAGTGTTTAAAAATGTAAAGATAGTGAGTACAAAATTCGTCGTTTAGTTGTTACATTTTATTTGAACATTAAAAAGATGAATTTTTTAGCTGCATTCATTTTTTTAAACATGTGTGTTTTGAACTGTGTCTAGCATAAAAAGCTCAATGAAGATATATGTATAAAATATATGCATGGTATTGTTTGATACGTTTAATGCAGTATAATGTTTTATAAAAAGTAGGTGGAAAAATAAAAGTTTATTTCTTTAAATGTGATCATGCTTTTGTCAGTACAGTTATAGTTGGCCATTGCAGTTAGAATTAAAGCTTTTGAAAGTTGTAAAACAAGACAAATTTATTAGAAGGAAGTAAAAATAACTAGAAATTTTTATAAGTATAAACAAACTTAATCAGCTTTATTTTACACTAAAAAAATTGCACTTAGCACGTTTCATTGGGACAAAAAACGTTACTAATTGAGGGGAGAAAAACAACTTTTGTAAAACTTACTACAAATGTTTTTTTAAAAAATTACATTTTTTTTTAAAATTTGGAAAGTTTGCTTGTTTAAAATCTAAGTTTAAATATTTTTTAAAGCAATAAATGCACTATTAAGTTAGTTAATCGTAAAGTATCTATATTTAAATAAGATGCAATTAGCAATATTAATAAAATTGCTTATTTTGAGGCTTTTTACCCAATAAAATTTGTGCGAGATCATTTAAATCAAGTCAAATCAGTCTTTTAAATATGTTCTAAAAAAGAAATAGATTTTAAGCTATAAATTATTTTATTGTCTTCAATTTTACATTATATTCAAGATAATTTACAATGTAATGATGAGTTTCTTTTTGCATACTTTCAGCCTAGAAACTATTTAAGAATATATATCTATATTAATAACAAAATTTTTTATAGAACTAATAAAAAATTAAACAAATTATTTGATTCCAAATCATAAAAGTTAATGCAAAATTAAAATTTGTTCAAAAAAATAGAGCTGAAAGTTGTTATAACTAGCTTGACCAACCGAATAAGAAATCTCATAATTTGTTGTCAATAGAAAAAAAAAGCAATATTTAGCACTGAAGAAATATCCTTTTTTTAGTAATTCACAAGTCTAGATAATTAATTTAGCTCTAAAAATTATAGAATGATTAAATTTACAAGCTTATTAATATAGCAATTAATAAACAGGACAAAGACTAACACAGCACTGCAAAATATGACTTGAAAAATCATAACAATTTTTGAGTTTTTGAATGGCCAGACTTCGAATTTTATTTTGAACATTAAAGCTATTAAATAGTTATGATTTCTTCTGTATTGCTTTTAATTACAGTCAAATTAAATATTAGGAAATAAAAACTTAGCAGGAAAAAGAATTTGTTCGAATTCAAGAATTCATTTAGAATGAATTCATTTCAAATGAATTCTTTTAATGAATAAGGGAATTTAATTTTTTTATTATTCATTACCTAGAAAGAGTAAAAAAATAATCAATTAAAGACAGATTAATTAGGGAATAAAGAAATTTATCTATAAAGCAATGAATGGTTTAAGTCAAAATTCACATTGCATGCAAGAAAAGTATTAAAGAAATGTACATAAGGGGTCGAAGTATGAATAAATGAGATTTCATGAGGTTATTGTAATTACTTGTATAAACTATAAAAATTGGATTATTATTTAATTTGAAAAACACATTTAATCAACCTACAATTGTTCAACATACCTTAAATATCGTCGAGCAGCATCTGTTTTAGATATTTGAAAATAATAACATCCTACTGCATACCAAGCAACCTTAAAAATTACAAATGATATAGGAATAAAAAATTAAATTAATTATAAATAATAAAAGGTAAGTAGGAAATTATTAAAATAATTATTGGGTAGAATTTTTAAAAATAACTATTGGGCTGTACTATATACAAGAATAAAAAGCAAATAATTTTCTTTCACTTATGAACATGTTCCTGCTGATTTCCCATCAGGATGATATTTTAATGCTGCTTTTCAAAGCTTTGTCGTCAAAGGAAAAGATTTTTAAAAAAAACATAGTATAGGAGCCTTACACTTAAAGCAATGTGATGATTTTAAACTATATTTATAATATTGCTGTGAAGAATTATCTGGGCTTTAGAAAAGACAAATAACTGAAATTTTTTAAACATTATTAAACATTTTTAAAAATTGCCAATATGGCGACATTTTTCCACCTAGATGAAAATTATCAAAATCACTGCCTTATTCTCAATTTCTTGTAAATTTTTATGAGCCTAAATAATACAACATTGGAGTAAGTTTTTAAACAGGCCACAAACAGTTAAATTTTTTCCTAAACTATTGCTTTTCTCCAGATTGACATTTTATCTATATTGACACCTTAGATAGGCTAAACTTGACTAACAGTCATGAGTAACAATTGCAAACTCACAGCAGTTATAAAAATAGCATATTATTCACAAAAAAGCATATTTTCAAATCACGAAGGAACTTTCGAAAAACAGCCTTAACGTGCTGGGTGAGATCAATGGCGAACTTTCGCGATGGTTTTTACATTTGATAATATTTAGTGAATAATGCAACTAGAAAATTACATTTAATGAATCAAATAAAGAAGGATTGACAAATAGGAGAACTAGGGTTTTGGGTAACTTTAACCCCAGATAGCTAAACATGTTTTTCTTTATCCATTTTTGGGAATTCCAAATGTTTTAAATAACACTTTTACCGATTCAAAGATTGCAAATTTTTACTATATTTATTTACACTAATCTATATTTTAATAAAAATGAAAGAGCATACATAGTAAAAAAAAAAAAAAACGTGTTTTAAATTGTGAATCGAAAGATCAGTTATACACTGATTTTAGCTTAGTTATCAAGAGTTAATATACACAGATAGATAAATAAAAAGTATTATAATGAACAGTAATATTTAAGATGAGCAATAAAAATATATGAATACTTACAGCACTTTCAGGGTAAAGATCTACCAGTTTATGTGCCAGATAAAAGAGAGCTGAAAACACACATATTTTTACTTATGTAAGTTTGAATACTGATGTAAAAAATTTTACAATAGCAAAGGTATCCACATAAGCCAATAAATTGACCTATATCCTTCATTTTCATAAAATGGTAAATCTCAAGCTCTTTGATAAAAAATGTCAATTAAGCAAGTCAGTTATGAATGTTTATCATATTTATCAACAATTCTTCTTAAGAACTACACTGCACACAGATTTTTTAAGAAATTTACTAATTAATAAAATTTTAACATTCAACAAAAAAAGAAGGAAAAAAACTATTGGTTATTTTTTAAATATTGTCCCTAAAAGTCTAAAAATAACTGCCTCCAGCACAGTTTTTTTTAAGCACATCTATATAGTGTTGCCATAATTATAAAATTGATAAAAATACTGAACCAGACTTTATTGAAGGCAGATCAACAGGGCCGGATTAAGCGCAAGCGAAGTCCTAGGCCACTCAAATTTTTGGGGCCATTAGATAAATTAGTGTTAAAGTCAATGTGTATCTGCTAGTAATAAATAGAAATGATTTCAATACTTTGCATATAAAATATATAATCAAAGTTTTGAACATTTAATTCATAGTATAAAAAAAAGGCAAGCTTTAGATTATATTTCTTATTACGTAGATGCCATGGGTTTTATAAATTTATAATAGTGGTATGAAATTGACATTGTAGGAGTTTAGATTTTTTATCGTTTAGTGACCTGAACACGAAGAGATGCAAAAAAAAAAAAAAAA